GCATGTTAAATACTAAGATACAAAGAGAATAAGAAGATGGAAAAAATATATCTACACACACACACACACACACACAGGCAACATTAATCAAAACCAAGCTGAGGCTGCTATGTGAAGATCAGACAGGTTTCAGATCAAAGACTATCACGGTGAAAGAAGGCTACTTCATAATGATAAAGGGGTCAATTTATCAAGAGGACACAATAAGCAATGTTTATACAACAGCTTCAAAATACAAGAAGCAAAAACTGACAGATGTGTGAGGAAAATGAGAAAAACTACAATTACAGTCCGAGACTTCAATTCCCCTTTCTCGGTGCAGCACGGATGAACTCAAAGTAACTATGCTGAGTAAAAGACAACAGACAACAAAGAATATACACTGTGTAATTCCACAAGTATAAAAATCTAGAAAGTGGAAAAACACATAGGAACAGAAAACACATCGCAGTTGCTTAGAGACTGAAGCAGGTACGGGAAGGAACAGAGGGCTGGTTCTAGAAGGGCACATGGAATTTTGGGAAATGATAGCTAAATTTAATATCTTGATTGTGAGGATGATTTCATGAGTGTATACATATGTCAAAATTTGCCAGACTACACACTTAAATATGTGGTGTTTGTTAGTTATAGCTCAATAAAGCTGTTTGATGGTGTAATGTAAAAACAGTTTATTATTCTCAGGCATGCTCCAGCTCTAGAGATAAAGCACTGAAAAAGATGAGATGAACAAAATGATGGACACAGGACTCATCAACACAGAACGAATCATTTTAGCATAGACAAGACTCGGAAAGCTACCAAGGCCCATCAAGTCTACGAGGAGCCAGGTACCATGTAATTATACAGATTCTGTAGTGCAGACTCTAACTAGGCAGGCAGGAAAGTAACCTCCTAAGAAAGTAACACATAAATCAAGAGGAAAAATGGAGTATGAGTTAGCCAGATGAAATATAGGGGGGAAATAAATACGTGCAAAGATATTTAGTAAATGAAGACTCTAGGGGAAAAAATCTGTAAAAACATGCCCAGAAAGGGAACTGCTGAGTCAAAGGGCAATTACAATTTACTAAGAAAGGGTTTTTTTAGTTCTTTGAAATAAAGGAAAAAGTAACAGGTACTGTTTACATAGCATAGGGAATTTTACAATTTAATAGCATCATTTAAGACATGAGACTAGCCCTGGCCAGGGAGCTCAGTTGGCTAGAGCAGGGGTGTCAGGCTCATTTTCACTGGGGGCCACCTTGGCCTTGCAGTTGCCTTCAAAGGACCAAATGTAATTTCAACTCCTCAACTGTTAAGGAGTCGTTACATTTACACAGTCCTAAAATGATTTCCGCCCTTTGAAGGCAACCGTGAAGCTGACGTGGCCCCCGGTGAAAATGAGTCCGACACCCCTGGGTTCGAGTGTCCTCCCGGCACACCAGATTGTGTCAAGAAACACAGAAGAACCTACCAATGAATGCATACGTAAGTAACACAACAAATCAGTGTTTCTCTCTCCCTTCCTCTCTCTCTAAAATCACGCACTCACTCAATAAAAAATGGGAGAATAAACCTCTAAGCTCTTTGAGACCAGAGACCACATCTCCATCCTCACATCCTAAATGCAGAGCTTCACACACCAGAGGTGCCCACTAACAGTTTGCTGAATTGAATGTACACCCTTTGGGGTGGGCTAACAGTCTAGTTGTCAGGAGGAGCTCCTCAATTGTACCTCAGTATCTCTAGAAATGATAGTTTTAAAAGGAATCAACCTCCTTTTTATCATCCTCCTCAAGTAAGTCTTAATGCAAGCCCTGCGTGAACTGTTGCAAAAGCGTTAAGTGGATCTCCCTGTCTCCATTCCTCTCATTTCCCAAATTCAGCCTCCACAGAGCCCAATAGTACACCATTCAAATCCCAAATCGACTTCCCTTCTATACTTAAAACCCTAAATGGCATCACCTCATCACAGCCAGTTGTGCATCCCACAGACTCTTAAGACCAACAGTGGTGAAATGAGGTGAGAAAAGGGATCAACTTAGTGAGTTTTTAATAAAGTTAATATATTTGATTTAGAGAGTTATTTATTGTGAGATTTTGCTTCCTGCTTTTTTTTTTTGGTGTTAAAATTATTTTTGAAAGAATGGGTGAGTACATGACAGTTTTTAAGAAACATCTCCACTTGGCAAACTAAAAAGTTGGCAAATCTGCCCTGACCAGTGTGGCTCAATTGGTTGGTTGGAGCGTCATCCTATGGACAAAGGGGTTGCAGGTTTGATTCCAGGTCGGGGCACAGAACTGGGTTGTGGGTCCAGTCTCTGGTGGGGGTGTGTGCGGGGGGCAGCTGATGGATGTTTCTTTCTCGTATGGATGTTTCTTTCCCTCTTTCTCCTTACCCTCTCTCTAAAATAAGTAAGCATGTTTTGGAGTAAGGACTGAAAAGAAAATTTTTTAAAAGTTGGCCAAATCTATGACAGAAAGCTTTATTATTATTATTATTTTTGTAAGGGCCCATCAAGAAGTCTGGGAAACAGAGGATAAAGTCCAAAAGGCAAATAGTGCCCTCACTTACTTTTCTAAGTCTCATCTCACTTTTCCAGGAGATTTTTTTTCCTCTTTCTCTTCTTCAATTTATTCAGTACCTACTATGCTAACAGCAATGACAGAGTCATGAGCAAAGGAGAAACATCACTGTCTTCAAGGAGCTCAGTCTGGTGGAGGAGACAGATGCCACGTACATACATAATTAAAAACTATGATTGGACTGACTTATGGAGAATGGAATAAAAGAGCCCAAAAGTGGAGTCAGGAAGGATACTCAGGAAGCTACTATAGTTCAGGTAAGAGATAACTGATTTGGACAAGGACAGAGGCATTAAAAAGTCAAAATCTTAAGCAGACTGGATTTGCTGACATAGATTGAATAGGGGGTCTTAATAAAAAAGAAATTGCTCCATGACTTGAGCATATGTGATTCTATGGATTTGCAGTAATAGTCACAATTGTTTATGACTCCTTGCATTTACACCATTTGGTATGAGGTTGCTATCATCAGTCACTCACTGTGTGACTATATGACTTGCTTGGGTCAATGGGACAACCACAAACTTATTCCAAGCAGTAGCTTCAAAAAAGTCTTGTGTAATGCTAGTGTCTCGTGGAATCAGTCTGTACTAGGAAGCTAAAGAATGAGAGACCATGCAGAGGAGAGCTAAGTAGGGAGGGACCATCTGAAATAATCTTAAACCAATTATAGCAGAGAACCCCTAAACCTATGAGGAAGTCCAAGGAAGATGAGCAGAGAGATATCTAGCAGACCCATAACAGGACAAAAGTGTACAAAGGAGCCCAGGCGAAGCCTAGAACCACCTACTGGGCCCACTGACCTGTGAGCAACAATAGCTGCTTATTTTTTGAGCCAGTGAGTTTTGGGGTGATTTTTTAAATGCATGATCTAATTAAACATGGTGGTACCATTTACCGGTATGGGGTGGAAGAGGGAATGGAAAAGATATGCAATTAAAAAAGAAACCAAGCTCATTTTTTTTCTTACCCTGGTCAACTTTTATCTCCCCTTCAAAGCTCAACTTAGATACCCACTGCTCCAGGAAGCTTTCCCAGATCTCCCAGACTGGTTTGGAATGATACTTAAGTACTACCATTTTGTTTTGTATACATTCCACCTCCTTACCACACTGTTTTATAATTATCTGTTTACTTTTCTTCCCAACTAGCCAATTGAACCTTATCTTATGTTCCTGACTTTCTTAACCATCTTGACATTTGCATGTAACACACAACAGGCTCTCGATAGACTTGATGAATGAAACACTACTTATTTGATACTATGAAACTATTCACTAGCATTTTTTCAAAGTGTGATCCCCTGATAACATGCATCAAAAGCAGCAGGTGGTGTTATTAAATAAAAATGCAACTCTCTGGGCTCTATCACCAATAATGCCATTTTACCTTCTCAAATAAAAAGGATGAATATTCTGGCCAACTATAGAAAAACAAAACAAGTAAAGTAAGGGTACGAAAATCAACTTGTCCTCAAAATTGTCTAGAATACGTAAAGTCCTTAGTCTGAGTAACTGAAAATGCTCTGAACGGCAATGGAGTTTCTCTTTTAAATGGGTCTCGGCCAGAGGAAACAGGAGCTGGGGGTCCTCCAAGAAGGTATGGCTTCTCAAAGCACCAGTTCAGAGAGACTGCTCCCGGGTGGGGAGCAAGTTCTCAGCTTTCTCCGCAGCACGGACCAAGCCATGGATGGACAGGCAGCCTCAGCCCAAGCAGAACCCGTGTGTCGGACCTCGGAAAATCCGGGGCGGCCAAACCGAGAGTGCGGGCCCGCGTCCCCACTACAAAAGAGCGGCGAGAAGGTGGCTCCCACTGAGTTCCGCGATGGGCGTCTTTCTCCAGAAACAGCCACCCTGTGTCCACCCCAGTCCGACGGGTCCGTAAGGAAGGCCCCAGCTGCCTTGCCTGCCTGAATCAGAAAGAAAGAAAATGCAGGAAGGGTCTGGCCCTTTGCAGCCGAAAGGGGTAAGGAAAAGTGCAAGGAGGCAGCGCCACTTCCCACCTGCATCGAGCTCCAGCTGGTAACACGGCAGCGGCTCGAGAGAGAGTTTGTAACCCTCGAATCGGGGATCCAACAGAGGTCTCTTCACCCGCAGGGAGCAGTTAGCTGCCACCTCCATCGCCTTCCAGGATCCTGGCCTGAGAACTAATAAAGCTCTTGTTGAAAGGTCCGCGCCTCCCTCGCTGTATTGAAGCCAAGAGGCTGCGTGGGTCCCATCCCAGAAAACACAGCGGTGCGGGGTGCCTTCTGGGAAATGTAGTCCCTCTGAGAGAGTTGGCTGTTGCATGTTGGGCCAGGTAGTTTTCAGGGGAAACATTGCCCGTGCGGCGCGAATATTTACACTCTCTTACCCAGAGGGCTGAGCGACCAGGAGGCGGCCCGCGCTGGTTAAATTCTCACCTTATAGGCGGGGTGGCGAGACCCCGCCCCGGAAATGCGTGTTCTAGCTTTCTGTGTGCTTAGGCGCCCGAGCTACTGAGGGTCTAAGTCTGGGCAGCCGAAGAGTGTGGTAGGTAACGGTCGTCAGCGCAAGGGTCATTTCGTCGCTGGGAAGGGACGGCCCTCGCCCGCGGTGATGGTGGTGAGCTATGCCCGTGGTCCTCCGGGCCGGGACCCGGGCCCAGCCCAGGCTCCTTTCGATGTGCTGTCTTTCGTTAGCTTCCCCGACCCGCGCTCGCGGGCCTGTAGGGCTCTCCGACAGGGCGTGCTACCGGAGTTGGCCTGTAGCCAGTCCTCGCTTTGTTTTCTGGCTCCTCCCCTCCCGCCTCTCCTGCTGTCTCCGCCCTGTTCTGTTTTCCTAAAGAATGTCTGAACTGGGAGGGATCCCCTAGCGCCCTTGTTTTACCAGTGAGAAAACTGAGGTCTTGAAGAATCGACTTGTCCAAGGTCACTACCGGTATTTTAGGGGCCAGGGTTCACTCAGTGTTAAGTTCAGTATTCTAGGAATGATACTTTCTGTACCTTAGAGTTATTTTGAAAATGTTAGCCTCCACATACAAAAGCAAGCATTTTCTAGTCTTTTCTCAAACCGTCCTTTTTCCTGTTCCACCCCAGAGGGGGGGAAAAATCAACTCTGAAAACTCTCCGCCAGTCTTTGAGTTTTCGTACAGGCCAGAAGGGAGACGACAAAAGTAATGTTAGCTTGTTCCGACTTTTACAACCTAACCTTCCTCTTCTTTCTACACAATTTTGATTTTGGTTTTCCTTACTGAAAATTGAGAATTTGCCAAGTTAAGAATTCGTTTGGGATCTGTTTTCCTCTTATCCCATCAAGCTTTGGATAAAGAGCAAATGCAAGTATACTTAGCAGCTGGTTTGGTAGTTGTGATTCTGAATATATCCTAGCGAAAAAAGTAAAACACTTAAGAACCTTACCTGGAAATTTTACTTTTCACCATCAGTGCTTAATCTTTTATTTATATTTAGTTTAAATTATGGCCTCCCAGAAATTTTGAACGCAGTTAAGGTACAGAACTGATTAGCAGTCAGTTATGATACGATGTTAAAGTTTGGGGGGGGGGGGCATCTGGGGTCAAAACACTTTCCTTCATTTTCTGTCTCAGTGCCTCAGTTTCCTCATCTGTAAAATACAAATTATGTTAATAATACTTATATAAAATAATATATTCTGGGAATTAAATGAAATAAAAACAATGTGTTAGCCCAGTACCAGGCACAGTAGTGTTTAATAATCATTACAGTAATTACTATTTAAAGACTTGTTTTAACAGAGGGCATATGAGGGATGAAAATTGAATTCATCACTGTGACTTCTTGGGATGCAGTAAATGTTAAAAGTCATGACATTGTTAACACATTGTTGAAATTTATCACCCCTTTAGTGGATAGACTGCTAAACATGTTGAGATGCTTGCCTAGAGGATTTAGAAGAAATGCTCTATACGTGCTTTATATCTGAAAATACATGTTGATATTCAGGTTAGCAAGATGAACAAAGATGCGCAGATGAGAGCAGCGATTAACCAAAAGTTGATAGAAACTGGGGAAAGAGAACGGTAAGTAATAGACTGTGTGAAAAAATTACACTTAACAGCTTTAAGTTATAATCACGTCATGTGTGAGAATCTAAATATGAAGGAACAAAACTGATGTTGGTGGAAAGAATTACAAAAGATAGTGTTCAAAGCTTCAGTTCCTAACATCTATAAACAATAGTTAGGTCTGTTCAGTATTGCAAGACTTAGAGGAAAGGGGGTGATATAGAAAGATGAATGAGAGATGATTTCGTATAATAAGAAAGAAAAACATTCTCAAATAACTACAGTTGGAGAAGTAATGTCACCCAATTTTTAACAGGGAGGCTGCATAATAGAATCAGTTTTAGTTGCCAAGCTCTCTTAACCTCAGAGTAGCATACACTATTCCCACTCTGAAACATTCCTCTTTTTTCCCCTAGTCTTTTCCTACTTCTAGCTTATCTTTCACATATTAATTTAAATACTTCTTCCAGGTATTGGGTAACTCCCAAATACCTTGTTCTAGTGTAGTATTTAATCACATTGTGTTGTGAGCACCTACTTTGCTAGTTTGTGTTTTTCAATATAATCTAAGTTACCTGACAGCAGAAATACCAGTGTATGCCCATTATCACACTAAGCTCAAAATTGGCTATGTAAATATTTGAAAATGAACCAAAAAAAAGCATGAAAGTGCAAAGGAGAGGCTGAGGAATCAAGAAAGGCTTCTAGGCCCTGGCTGGTGTAGCTCAGCGGATTGAGCACGGGCCTGCGAACCATGCGATCGCGGTTCGATTCCCAGTCAGGGCACATGCCTGGGTTGCAGGTCAGTTCCCAGTGGGGGACACATGAGAGGCAACCACACACTGATGTTTCTCTCTCTCTCTTTCTCCTTTCCTTCCCCTCTCTCTGAAAATAAATAAATAAAATATTTAAAAAAAAAAAAAAAAGAAAGGCTTCTAGGAGCAGGGTGATACATTGTATGAGAGAAATAAATATAAGGAACAGGAAGAATCTTCCCACTCCACCTGGGGAATAAGCTGATCAGTTAAGGTCTCACAGAATAGTGAAAGAGCTGCTTAGCTGGGGGAGAAGGATTAGCATTTCCCTGAGCCAGTAACATAGAGAAGACAGTCTAGGCAGGTGGAATGGAATGTGCAGATTCACAGAGCTTTGTTGCAACATGATGATGTGCTGGGGAAGTGCAGAATTAAAGCTAAAGGGTACAGCTGTGTGGCTGGGCCAGTGCACCGTAGAAGTAGATTTTGGGAAAGTCAGAATTTTTTTAATTGAAAATGATAGAAACAACTTGGAAACAGGCTTAGCCAAAGGAAATATACAAGCTCATGTAACCAGAAAGTCTAGAGCTTGAAATTGCTTCAGGCACCACTGGGTTCAGGCACTCAAAAGTTACCTCCAAGAATGTCTTTCTTTTCCTCCCTCAGGTCTCCTTTCCTCTGTTGGTTTTATTCTCAGACAGGCACTCCCCACGGAGATGTGTAGTTCAAAATGTATATCCCTCTGCCCCACACCATCCTCCTCCTGGTAATTTCAGTAAAGACCTAGTGTGATTTCTGTCTTACTTAGTAATAGTAGGCCAGTGATGATCACCCCTGCCTAGGCCACATTTCCATCCCTAGAACCCTTCCCAAATTTCTTACACTGGGGTGGTGGAGGTTCATTAAGAAAGAGGGGCAGGAAAATGGATGGTGGGTTTGCAGAAACATCTGTTGATTTTATCTTTGGGTGGTGGGAGTCATTAAAAGATGAACAAAGGGGAATGACTAGATGACACTAGCACTTCAGGAACTTATTGCGGCAGTGTGGAGAGTAGACAGGAAGCGTTAGAGGTCGAGTTTAGAAGATTATATTGGGTTAAAAGTGAAAAATAGTGAAAGGAGTACTTATTCTTTTGTTTTTTAAGTAAAATCAGAAATGAGAAGGTAGAAACTAGAAAGGTATCTTGGGAAACAGAGAGGATGGTATTGCAAGTAATGAGTGTAGATTACGTGTATTTTAAATTGCTGTTTTCATTTATGCAGCTTAGTTACTGAGTTTCTACCATATGCCAGGTCCTGTTAAGGTGCTGAAGTTAAAGTAGTGAGCAAAATGAAGTTTGTTCTTTCTTGGAGCTTACATTTTCTGATGGGAGGAAACAGAAAATAAATGTCAAATATGTCAGGGAGTGATGAATTCTAAAGGGAAAACAAAGCAGAGAATAATGGGGTATGTTATTTTGGATGGGAAGAAAACAAGGCTTCATTGATTAAGAAATTAGAAGCTTATAAGCGAGATGGGAGTCTCCAAGAGCCGAAGTCCTGAGAAAGGAGATTTGGGCATTTTGAGGAGCACATGAAAACTAATGAGACTGCATAATTGGGAGAGGAAAAGAAGAGCTAAACTCAGGGCATAGCTGGGAAGAGGGCAGATCATGGGGGTCATTTAGGCTACAGTAAGACTTGATGTTTATTCTGAGTAGATTGGGAAGCCACTGGAGACTTTTGAGTAGTGGGAGGAGAATGGAAGAGTGCACAGGTAAAAAGCGGGGCGACAGGTTAGGAGGCTTTGGTAACAGTCTAGTCAAGACAAGGTGGTAGCTTGTACAGGGCAGTAATGGCAGGAGGTGAGGAAAAACACCTGGATTGCTGGTACATATTTCAAATCTGGAACCCATAGTCTTTGCTCGCGGATTAGATGTGTAGTGTTAAAAGTTGCAGTGGAGGACGCTGCCAAGGTTTCTGGCTTGAGGAACTGGAAGGATGGAGAACACGTTAAGGTGGGAGAGAGGCGTGACTTGGCTTTGGGCCCTGTTACGATTAAAAGACCTGATAAGGTGCTGAGATGAAAATGTCACGCAGTGGAGTATAGGAATATTGAAAGAGATTTGGTTTGGAATATGACATGGTTAAGCTGAGAAATTAGATGGTTTAGGTTGAAAATTGAGGATTTGTAAGAGTGGGTATGGCAGAAGAATAAGAAAGTACTGATAAGAAAATATTTTATTACATCCATGTCACAATATACACTTTTTTTAAATCACTAAGAAAAAAGAAAACCCTGTCATTTAAATTAAGGTAGGTATGCCAATTACTGAATTGTTAAAATGGGAGGAAAAGTGTTAGAGTCAATGAAATACAACTGTGATTGATGTGTAATTTACAAGGGTCATAGAAAAAAGGAGGGGAAGTTTTGGAGGTTAGAGAGGAAAAGTAATGGGGAAGTAAGAGGGCTGAAGGATAAGAATTTGTGCTCCAAAAAGGAATTTCAGAGGTGCAGCTGCTCCAAGCTCAACTAAAACCCTCCCAAAGCTGTACGGGCCACAGTGCTCCTGTCGGTGGGGAGAAGTAGCAGTAGGGTAAGAAGGCCAGATCAGAGTTTCTTGACAAGTATTTTGCCCCCATTCACTTAATTTTTTTCAAACTGATAATGAAAATGAGGCCCAGGATTTAAATGACTTTCATAGGATCATAGAACTATTTAAACTATTTCATGATAAAACTATTTCAAGATTAGGCTGTGGTTAAAGTTTTGTGACTCAAGCCCTTATTATATGAAATGTTAAAGGGACTTACCTAAGAAAAAGAAGATAAAAAATATGAACAGTGAAAGGACAGCAAACTCACAGTTACTAAGAACCACACCTAAAATAAAAACAAAGAGGACAGCTAGATCAGGAGCAGAACCATAGAAATGAAGATCAGGTGGAGGGTTAGCAACGGAGGAGTGGGAGGAGAAGGGGGGAGAAGGTACAGAAAATAAGTAGCATAGACGTTAGGTAGAAAATAGATAGGGGAGAGGTTAAGAATAGTCGGGAAAATATAGAATCTAAAAAACTTGAGACACAGGGTCATAGACTAAAGGGGGGAAATGGTGGGGGAGGGGTGTGCAGAGTGGAGGGGAGTGAAGGGGGGGGAATAGAACTGTAATGGCATAATTAATAAAAACAGCCAGAAGGGAAAAATATCACTGGAAAAAAGAGTAATTTTGGTGAACTTTGTATCTTTCACAGTGCTACTTTAAAAGATAAAACAATTGGAAAATTAAAAAAAAAAGGCAGGGAATTTATCGTCGCAGAGTTGAACCTTCAATTCAAACGTTCCTAAGATATTGTACATTGTTGTAATTTAACTTGGAAACACTTCTTTTTCAACAGCCTCAAAGAGTTGCTGAGAGCTAAATTAATTGAATGTGGCTGGAAGGATCAGTTGAAGGCACACTGTAAAGGTAACCAGTTCCATTTAGAAGATACGCCAGTTCCATTGCTCTCTGTTGGTTTGGGGTTGACTAGAAAAATTAGTAGTTTGAAGGTATATTAAGTATTAAGTACTCAGACATAATATTAAACAAATGGAAAGTCAACTCTCGTAGTGATGATTTTCTCCTCTTTGTGATAATATTTAGACCTAATTCCTAAATTTTTAGAGATTTTCTTGTGTTTCTCTTAAGCAAGGCAAGATTTTCTCTGGCTTCAAAATGTGGAATCCCATTTCAGAGTGAAATCCCACTTATTTCAAAGTGAAACATTACTTATTCCTAATATGTTTTATTTTGAAAAATTCATTTTAAAAGTTTTTAAGAGAATTCTTTTTTTTTTTAAATGTAGAATCAGAGCTTGTTAAATTGCTTAATGTTGATTGTGGATTACATATCTTACTAAGACAAGCCGCCTTACTGGCTCAGCTCTTAGTGTGATAGCATTTTGCTTATTTTCAATGATTTCCAATTGTATTGTGATGGTTTTTACAAGTAGTAATAGCAACTATTTATAACATTAGCCCTAAGAAGGCAGCGAGACAGATGAGTGAAAACAGACGTTGAGGTCGTGCAGATGCTCACTGGTAAGAGGCTAGAGCTGTGTGCCATCTCGTGTTTCGATGAGTTACTGAATTTTCATGCCCCACCTGTGAAGTGGGGGAAACACCCAGCCCATTAGATTATTGTAAATATTGAATGATATAAAGCATCCAGTGCACAATAGGGGTTCAATAAATATTAACTACTTTCCATTCTCTGTTTCTTTTGGTTCAGTCTAAGGAAAAGAAGGGAACAAAAGAGTTCTGTATTTTAATTTTGGGCTACGAAGTTATAAGTTGGACACAACTTAATTTTGTGTTGGACACAAAAGCTGCTTTCACCTCCATTTAAGAGCTAGTATGGTTGTAGTGAAGTCAGATCTGTGCAGTTGGAAGCTTCTAGCTTTTTACAAATGTTAGATTCGACCACAGTTCAGGTTCACTCTGTGATGTATTTGTTAAATTACAGGTTATTTAAATGGGAGATGAATAAGCTTTTATGATTTTATCTGGTGAATAGTTAATGTATTTAAAGTTGAACTAAATATTCATTAATAAAGAAGTGTCCTCTTTTTTTTTTAAGACCATCTGCACTCTAAAAACATGATCTTAATCCTTCCTCTATGAAAATCTTTCTTACAGATAATGATTTTAAATGATATGATTTGTTTTTTACTTTTGCATAAGAGGTAATTAAAGAAAAAGGACTAGAACACGTTACTGTTGATGACTTGGTGGCTGAAATCACACCAAAAGGCAGAGGTAAGGAATGCAAATCGCCTGGAAGGAAACATGTGCTCCAGACAAGAGTTTTTTTCTTTTGCCAAGTCAGCTTCTCTTTCTTTCTGCAAGACGGAACCACCTCTCCAGCATCATTTGGGTACTTGGTGTTTCCTCATTGGGGAAAATTACAGGTGCCTGCCTACCTCTCTAACACTGTTTTGAGTAATAGACAAGAGTTGTAAAATGGTGTTGCACTCTGAAACAGTGTACAAATCCGTTGATGTGATTGTTAAGACAGATAATTTTAAAAAGATGGGATCTTGTAGAGGCAAATAGTACCTGGAGCTAAGATTTATTAACTTTATTAGATATTGCCTGACTTCACTTAGATATTTAGTAATTCAGAATTTTACTCTTGTCCCTGAGTCATTGCTCTATCTCTTTGCTTATTAAAAATAAACAAAACTCTGTTTAGAATGTCTAATTAAGAATTTGGTAGCACCAGAACTTCATGTTCAGGGAAGCCATATTTAAGATTAACATTACAAGCATTTTCATTTCTCCCTTTAACACCTTGTTTCCAGGGAGCACAGGAAAGAAAGGAAACGTATTATCATCAATCCTACGTAATGCTTACTGTCAGGAATTACATTCTGTTGTTATCTCAGATGGAGCTACATTTTTTTTTCATTTATTTCGAAAAAGTTTAACTGGAAGCGGGTAAATTAGATGACCTATTGTTTTATAACACAGAAATAGTAAAAAGAATTTTAGTGTAAAAAGTAAATAAGTTTGAAAATAATTTTGAGACTTCTAGTTCCCCGACTGCTTACCTGCTGGGGAGGAGCTGGGGAGTCCCCTGGTCATTTCCACCATGTCTTTTGGCCTGTGTACAGTTCCAAAACCTGACCTTTCTTTATACATATTTCAGGGAAAGAAAACAGTATTTATTGCCCCCCCTTCATTTATACTTTAAAATAATTTGTCCTAACTTTGTTTTCTGTTTTTCTTCTGTAGTTTATGCTTCATTTGTTAACACTACTTAGGAACTGGTTGTATAGGAGAGAGGTGGTTCTTTGCTTCTCCTTCAGCTCTGGTGTCTTGGACATAACAGTCCCTTAGCTCCCCTACCAGAGAATGAGCAAATAAAGGAAAAAGAAGTAGAAGCTGTTCTTTTATGTTCTTAGTCTTCTTCACTGTTAAGAGTAGACACATTTTATTTTTTTAAAATATACAGCAAAGTTGACCCTTTTTTTAGTGTGCAGTTCTGAGCATTTTATACACATGTATAAATTCATTAGCCACCACTTCCATAAGACTTCTTCACATCATCCCTTTGTGTTCATTCACACCCCATCTCTGAACCCCGGGCAACAGATTTGTTCTCCATCACTGTAACTTTTATCGAAAGTGTGTTTAATATACATACTGATCCCTTTTCCAGTGGACCTGACCGGGCGGTCTTCATGTCTAGGCAGGCTTCCGTGAAGCAGTTCAGACAGTAGAGTGTCTGTCTATTTGATTGTGTACTGATTTCTAGAGTTCTTTATGGAAATACTGAACTGTATCTGAAGCTTTCCATTTCCTGCGCACACGAGCAGAAAACATTAGAAGTGTTAGTAAATGAATTCTTCCAGAGCCCTTACTTAGGAGCCAGAAAAGGAACAGTAATGTAGGTTTGTTTGCTGACGTTTAATATTAGTTAAAACCTCAAGGAGCAGGGTCTTCTTTTTTTTTTTTTCCATTTTTAATTTAATATTCTGAATAGGTAATACAGTCACGTGGTTCAAATTCAGAAAATAAAAATATGAGAAATACAGCCATTGTTGTGGCCTTTGCATCTTTGCTGAGTGAGAGTATGTGCATTTATATCTGTAAAATATTGCTAAATTACTTTCCCCAAAATGCACCAATGTACACTCGCACTATCCAGTATCAGAGTGCCATTTTTCCAGTCTCACCAACAGTGATCTTTAGCCAGTCAAATTGGTAAAATACGTTACCTGAATGTGGTTTTAATTTTCATTTCTATTGTAAGGTTTACTCCCTCTTCTGTTCAGGAACTGTGTGTTCTTTCTCTCCTGTGCTCATTCTTCTATTAGCCTGCTGATTTCTTATCAAATTGAAGAAATTGTAGAGACAGTAGCCTATTTTCTGTAAAGTGTTTTCCCAGTTTTTGTCTTTTGCCTTTGTTTACAGTGATTTTGACCAAGTTTATTAATTTGATGTTGCATTTGAATTTAATTTATCAATCTAAGGCCTTTTTCACTCCTACTTAAAAGAATTTTCCCATGTTTTCCTTTCAGTGTGCAGTGTATTTCAGTATTTGATAATTCATTCAAATAATGAGTTGCAAGTATACTTTATTTTTCAGATGTTTACCTATTTTTTAATTATAGTGTGAGGGTTGTTTATGAAATAAATTATATATTATAAATTGGTCATCTTGAATAAAGTATCAAGTCTCAAATTGACATATTTTATTTGGAATCTTCCTACTCTTACGTATTTATTTTTATATTTCAGCCCTGGTACCTGACAGTGTAAAGAAGGAGCTTCTACAAAGAATAAGAACATTCCTTGCTCAGCATGCCAGCCTTTAAGATTGAATTAGATTGTGTTGTTTTGTGGTCTTATTTCTGAAAGTAAAACTTGCCATAAATTAGGAATCGCTTTCCCAAAATAAAATCCTTTTTTGTATGATGGTATACAGTTTTCGGTAATGATGTATACATTGTATTGATTTTTTCCCTAAATGTGTTATTTTAATAAATATCTCATGAATGAGTTTGTAGTTTCCTTGGATCTTGGAATAAATGGGACTTTTCAATAACCCACCAGATTTATTAGAGAAAAAGTCAGCGAGTATTAAGTATGTACATATTTCTGTGCTAACAACTGAAGAGAAGGAAGCAGCCTCTTTGAATTGTCTAGATACGGTGTATTTCTCTTAAATCCCTATAATATTTTATAATACATGCCCCATCTTGTACTGCAGTTGTTTTATTTCTTATTTGTTACAAACTCTGAGAGTTAGGACTGAGTCTTTACTCATCTTTACGTGCCTGCCTTATTCCTCAAAGAATTTACCATCCAATTGGAAGAGAGAACATTTGCAAACTGGCTCCATTCCAAGCTCCTCTCACATACCTACTCATCTGAACTTTGAAAGCAGAAAGTCTAACTCACATCCCCACATACTAAGGTCAAGAAAGAACTTAATGGGAAATAATCTCCACCTGTAGCTTTACTCTGACATCAAGAATGCCAAATCCAATGGACTCTTGTCTATACTTACGTGACTGCTGCTGGGAACTGAGAACGTTGACCGTCCTGCCACTGGAACTGTCCTCCCAGTCCTCCCACTGGAGTTCCTTCTGTGTCTTGTGGAGTACCTCTGCTGTGTGGGACTCGAAGTAATGGTGTTTCTTAGGGCTTGCTCCTGGGCCCTCTGCCAGACTAATGTGCTTTTTCTGGGAAAATCCCACGCAACAAGTTGGACTGTGACTTCAAATACTAACAGGTTAATAAATGGTAAATTGCGTTACCAAACCAGACTTCAGCCCAGCCTCCATGCCCGTATGCCCATCTGTGGATCAGCTCCCTTGGATGTTCGTGAACCCTCTGACCACACCTAAGATAGTGACTTTTTTCCCTCCAGTAACTATCCCTACTGTGTTCCTTACCAATGTGAGCAGTACCTCCTAGCCATACATACTACCTGAGGAGTTTGTTAAAATAGTGACCTGGGAGGTAAGAGGTGTTGCACAAGATCGTGTATTCCTGACAAACTCCCAGTCAATGCTTCTGCTGGTGACGGAGGACCATTTGGAGTGTGGCAAGGTTGTTGGTCGACCACTGCCTGCCCTCTGAAGTGCCTTAGTTCAAGCCCGGTGAGTGCACTTGGCACCTCAAGTTTCCTTGCTTTAGCTGCTCCATGCATCCTCTAGTATGTCTTCCACACTTAGGCCTAAGTGACCTTACTAAAATTCATCTTCCATTCTTGAAACTACTCAGTGGCTCCTGGTCTGCAGAGTAAAATTAGAGCCATAGCACCTAAGCCCTCTTGATCAGACATCTACTTTTTCTAGTTAACGGAGTTCCCAAAAGTATCAAGTTGATTTATCCTACTCGGCTTTCAAAATTCTACCTGAGTTACGTTTTTGGTTTGTTTTTTTTTTTATTTTTTTATTTTTATGTATTGATTTTAGAGAGGTAGGGAGAGAGATGTGGGTTGGTTGCCCCACTTATTTATGCATTCATTGGTTAATTCTTGTATGTGCCCTTCTGAGGATTGAACCTGCAACCTTGGCATACTGCCTGTGTTATTAAAACATTCTAACATTTCTATTTGATTTAAATTTTCCACTGCTGTTTTTCTATCAAAAGCAGTTGTGCATAATTTCCCTTCAACTCAATAGTTCTAGAACTTTGCATGCATTTCCTGGAGGGGAAGGAACGTAACATTTTTCCTCTATGATACTGATTTGTGGGTGAATGGACAAAATAAATGAACATTATAGAAGCACAAAAGTGAAAATATCATTGGTTTGAGAACGAGGCTTCACATTAATTTTTGGATCATGTTCCAGAAATATGATTTTGATGAATTTAAGTGTAGTCTTGGAACAAACTGGTCTAAACTATGTAAAACGTTAAACCTAAGACACACAAACCTGCCCTCCAATTTTTTTTGTTTCATAAAGCAATAAAGTTAAATGGTAGTTATATTCATGATTCTGCTACCCATTATCAAAGAAAATGGTACGAAATGTTAAATTTTAACAGGTAGTTTTTATTTCATAGTGCTGTATGTAAAAGGAAACCAAAAATTACTTACAGAGATTACTATTTTAATAGTTCAGAACAAAATATAAGAAAGGGAAAGATGGAAATAGTTTGAGATGGGACAAAAAATAATTGAGGTGGGTATAATAGCAATCAAAATACTAAAGAGCATAGCTTGAAAACGATAATGCCAAGAAGACCCCTGTCATCTCTAGGATTTTTTTTTTTGAGATCTTCAAAATGTAGTTTGCATCTTGAACTATTGATATCTTTCCAATAAACCAACTTTGTGAACACGTTGACTCACATCACTGATTTACCTTAACCAGGAATCCATTCTTTAAAAATCCTGCACCGTTTCACGTTCAGTGTTGGAAATACTATGAGGTTGTTACGGGACTGCATTGGGTGTGTAAAATACTAATTAGGGTTAGTATAAGCTTTTTGTGTACAGGGTTAAAGAAGACCCAACTAAATTATTTAGGTAATCACTTTGCTTTGGCATACAACTGTATCATTTGGTTGAGCAGTGCCAAGCTAGGGCCTGCTGATGCAGGGGACTGGTAATTGGATATGGGACCTTTCATAACTCGATAACAGTCTCCATCGAACTCGAGAGAATTGTGACAGCTGCTCAGTAGCCGATGCTGGAAACAATCCAATGTGCGCACTTGTGTTTTAACCCTTCTTGTAAATTGCCGTCTCAGGTTACTCAGTGACTTCCTAAAACCCTTCATATTTACTGTTTAAAACCACGCAAGGTCACTGGATGAATCCTCCAAGAAAACTAACAGGTACAACCAAATGATTTGAGTTCTACTCTCATCTGTGACACTGACTTATTAGGTAAGGCTGCCTCTTCTGCCTCAGTTTTCTCATCTGCATAATAGACCTGATAATGCTGAACTGACAAGAATTAATTTAAAAACTAAATACTATTAATAGAATAATCATAAAAAGCAATATAGATCCATTTTTCTTCTAGAAGAACTCTAGAATTATGTGTTTACTCTCTGCTTTCCAGATTTATACAGACATATAAATTACACTTATGTGGAAAAGAACTGCTTTTATTTTCTGGGAATTTCTAGATAAAATTAATTACCATAAGAATTACTTCAAAAATAAAGGTTACCTACATTATTTGGTTGGAACAGAATAAATACTACTATTATAGAACTAAGCAGGGAGGATTGAAATTATCTCATCATTTTCACCCACATTTTACACAGTTCATGTCACAGAGGAGTTTATCTTCTGATCCTACTTGGCTTTGATAAATCCTCCTATTTATCTTTTTGGTACATTTGTCTTTGATCCTAAGTGAATAATGGAGTTAATTCTTGGTACACTCTTTTAAATGAATTAATAAATAAATGAGACTGAGGAAAGAAATTTGGCATGTGTCTGCTTCCTGCAGACTTCAAATTACACTTGGCTATTCTGCTGTTCGCCACCAGAGGGCACTGTAAGCCTGCATGTTGGTCCTCTCTGGGGCTCTGAATGCAGTGTGTCCTCTTCCTAGGCCCAAGTCCAGCTCCGGCCAGGCAGCGTTTTCACGGTGTAAAGGTTATGGAATTAAAACTTAATTGTGAAGACCTCAGACTGTGTTGCTGTTATAAACTAAGATGAAGCTACAGTGCGATGCAGATATTATTAGGACAGTTTTTAGAAACCAATTCACTAATGCAAGAAGCAAGTTAATTTAAATCGAGTACACTGTACACTGTGACTAAAATATTTCTATGTCAGTTACCTTATCAAAAGATAAAAGAGTAAATTCCCAATAAAAAGTGAAAGGAAATAATTTCCAGCATCTGTACTGCTGTTCTTTTATAGACGACCCTTTTAAAGGCATAATATTCATATATTCCTTTTTCATACTCTGTCACTTTGTTTCTTTTAGCAAGTGTAGAGAATTATGTAGCACTAAAACCGTGTGGACATTCAGTGGATGTTAGGTTATCATGACAATGGTGAAGAAAGGCAATAAGTGAAAGTAGATAGAACCTCTACTCGTGGTATAATGTTGCTCATAAAATAGTTGTAAGCACAAGAGCAGGTGCCAGTATTTACCACATCCATAAAGTCCTTTGGCTTGGTGCCTGGGATCACCAGAAGTAAGTGGAGATAAATGGCTTTCAATTACTGTATACCTTCTCATTCCAAAAGTGCTTGTTGAGGGCACACCTTTGAAAATTTATTCTTCCTAGACAGCCACCTACATGGGCTTCATCAGTTGTAAGAGGCACAAAGCAGAACAACTGAAAGAGAGAGGTCCCTTAAACCGCAGCCTGTCTGATGTGGGGGTGATTTAGGTAGCAATTCACATTGTGTACTTTGGGGAGCATTCGGTTTGGCTAAACTAATTTGTGGGCAAGCGCTCTAGTTAATCTTCATTAGGCACTTACGTGTTCTATGACCATTGCCCACGCAACTCCCATCAGCTATGGATGCTGGGGGGATAATAAAGTACAAGAAATACAGACACCCTACTTAGGAGGTGCAGCATAAAGTCAACATTACGGTCAAGGACCTCGTAAGTCTGTATACATATGCGCTGCACTTTTCTCCCAGCATCGGTGCTCACAAAATAGTCTTGTGTGTGGGACCTGGCTTCCACATTTGCCCTAGCCATCGGGCTTTCAGCAAACATAGCTCCTGAAAAAGCACAGGTGTATCCCCAGCCAGCTGTGTTTCCTATGTCTCTTACACATTTTCCCCCTTTAGAGAGATTGCAGAGACCTCCAGTGGACTACTGACCCCTTTTCATTGTTCTTCCCCCTCCTCATGTTCTCGCCTCCTCCCTTACCCATTTAGATTTGATGGTTTATGATTAGAACTTCCTTACAATTACCTTCAGCTTGTCTTCCCCTCCCCCCGCAAGGTCCATTCCGGTTTAAACCTCACTACTCCGAGGGCTACTCTCTGTACGCACTGGATCGCCAGAACCTTGTGAGGGAAAATCGTACAGCCCTTCTGACGAGTGCTGTTCTAAAATAACACCTACCACATTCCGAAAAAAAATTGCATAACTTGTCAAAAATGTTATTGTCACAAAAGACCAAAAATGAAGAGAGAAAAAAGGCTTAGGTTGAGAACTGTCTAGGCTGAAAAAGAAGAAAGAGACCGTATTTAAAGTTTTGTGTCCTCCTTGATCTATGCACAAAACACAGCCATTAAGAACATTATCGAGACAGTCGGAAATTTTTAATCATGGGCTGTGCAGCATAAAGTCAAAGTTATGGTCAAGGACTTTATAAGGCCTTATATAGGGCTTTATACGTCCTTAAAACTGTTATCGGTGTTTTAAATTTCCTGAGTGGCATGTTTGTACTGAGAGGAAGACCTCGTTTCATGTTGAAGTACTATCGGTAAAGGGTCACATTGTAACTAACTCTTAAGTGGTTCAACAACAACAAAAAGTATGCACCGAAATATCGAGAGAGAGAAAGGTGGGAAATGTCGGCTAAGGGAAGGGTGCATAGATGCTTATTGCAAAGAGATCTAACATTTTTCAGATTTAAAGGAAGCAATGGTCACAAGTCTCAGATGAACACTTTTCGCTGCCCAAGAACTCCACCACACTTCTCCAGCACGCACACTTCCTCACTCCCCCCAGTGCCCGTGCCACACTGCTCCCCCGGACCAACGCCCCTACTTCGTGCTTCATTGAGGAGCCGCAGTGGTCCCACCGGAAAGACCCCAGCATCGAAACTGAAGCCTTCTTCTCCTGAGACATGGTCTTCTTCTCCTGCGTTGCATTCTACAAAGCTGTCCTGCTGCCTGCTCACTCTTGGCTGCCTCTCTCAGTCTCTGGCTGGCCCTCCAGCTGCTGGAGTTCCTCAGCTGCCAAGCGCTTGACCTTGTCTCTTCGCTCTCTGCATAGGAGGTTAGTCTCTGTGCACTTGGGCAGTCAGGCGAAACCTATACATTCTTTCTCAGAGCAGCGTATTTAAATGCACAAAGTAAAATTCTTAGAATTACACAGGAATCTACATTAAAATATAATTATAAAAATTATTCAAAATTAAGGCATAGTATTTATTGTTATTAACACAAAAGTAAGGTGGTGCACTTCAAATATAGGCAAGTTTCAAATCCTATGTTATTATTGAAAAATGTTATTTTGAAATTACTTCCAAACTTGCATAACAACATTAAATTGTAGGGTGGTGTTTACCAGGGCCACAGTTGGAAATTCTGTGAACTTCAAGTTTGGGTTTTCATGGCTATAAGTACTGAGAAACTTCATTGGCTAAGATTTATAAATGGATAAACCATTTTCATTCAAGGTGTCCCAAACTTGAATGGTCGAGAACTGTCTTTTCTTTCAAAAGAATTAAAGCAACTGCCTTAATTCAAATAAGAACTTATGCCTTGTTCTCTGGGAAAGGCAGTAAACCACTTGATAGAGGAGTATCATATTGTTGTCCTTTTTCTTGACTATTGTTGAAATGCAGCAATTCAGGGGAATCGTCAGAGGATAATAGCGATACGTTTTATGGCTGTTGGCAAGCCTTCTCCCAGGACTGTAAAAATAGTCTTAATTCCTGCAGCTTGTATATGTGAAAAACAAGAAAAAGAAGTTCAACATCATGGGGCGCTTCCTTGTCCATGAAGATAGCAATAGTGGATATATTCCTAAGTCATGTAAAGCGTATAATGCTTTTTTTCCACTTGCAGTTTTATTTGGAAAAATAATTTTTCAAAAGGACAGCAAGGGAACAACTTTTCAGCATTTCCAATATGTCAACAACTTTGGTAGTTTCCAAAAGAGACTCACAGAACAGGAATTCTTCCAGGCATATACCAAGGGGCCTGGTCGGGCTGCCTGCCAGTTCCTCCCTTGCTTGTTTCAAATGTTAAGACTTCTGATAATTCTGTAATATATCAAATGTTTGATGTGAAAGCCTTCATAAATCTATGTCGGTTCACAACCCAGGGAGTTGCCCACATGAAATCGCAGGCTGACTCCCCTACATGAAAGGCAAGAGAGACAAGAAGAAAGACGCAGACCAGTCCAGGTTGGCAAGTGGCAGGTTGAATAAGCCGGGAAGCGGACAGAACGCTTGTGTTTGGTGACAGCAAGATGAGCGGATTTCCAGACCTACCCACCAGAATTGTAAAGGTTTATATAGAGGCCTTAGTTGGGTTCAGTCACATATTCAGACAAAAACAAAAACAAACAAACAGCCCAGCAGCTGGGTGTTTCTTTGAAAAGGTTAGCTGGACCACGCCACACTTCAATACTCTACAGTAGGCTCGCATAGCCTCCGAGTCACGTCTGTGAT